TTTTTTAACAATTAAATTAAATTTCCTTATTAATTTCAACTGTAATATTTATTTTATTGCGCGAGTAACTTAATTACTCGCGTGTATTTCATTCCTATTCCTTAATCTAGACACGGGCTACGGTATGTTTTACATATCAACCACATACAACTTTGATTGTCATAATTGTGTTCTATAAACCATTAGGCATTATAGTAATTTATACATATAACGACATATTAACTTAGATAATACTTTTAATTAACTTAAAATTAAATTCCACCTATGGTCCGGTAATCATATCTGATAGGTGTGACACCTCGCCTAGGTGGTGGCGACCCTTGCTACTCTAGCTAGTCGTTATGCAAGTGGCAAACCACGTTGTTGTTACAGGCCGAATTACTAATACAAAAGCCCGCTTGCAATATACATATTAATTATTATACATGTATAGATATTTTTTAATTATTTATTTAATCTTAATTTTAATAGAAATAATATTATACTATTAGTGTATTTTTTTGGACAATGAATAAGAACAAATATATCAAAATAATATTAATTGTGTAACATAAGTAAAAAATAAATTCTTAGTTTATATTATATTATGTATAATAAATAGAATTGGATAATAGTGTTTTTTTTAACACAATTTAATTAATATTAAAAAGAAATAATATTAATAAACTATGTAATGTAAATAGAACATTTTAATAATGATAACAAAGCCAAATCATTTAGTAAATAAATTAGTAAATCATTTGACTTAATAACTATTATTAATGAAAAATACAATTTTCTTTTAAATTTATTTATTATAATCCTTTTTATAATTGTATATCATACAAAATTATAGACAGAACACATTAAGCTTTTAAAAGCACATTGAAAAACTTATAAATAGTATTTAACATTTTTAGCAGTATAGCTTTTGAGGCTACTGCTTGCGATATTACAGCTGAATTAAGTTCCAGTTCTCTTTGTGTTCTTAAGAACATAATAATAACCAATTTTTTATTGTGGATAGGCATACTATACCACTCTTCATTGTATAATTTGTTTGCAATTATTCTATGCTAAAAAAAATATTTAGAAATAAAACAAATTTTATTAAATTCATGTTGTAAAGACCTGTTGTCATAAATGTGATAAATAACACGAAGAAAAATTTTAGTAATATATATAGAGGTCGTCAAAGAAATCAAAATCTATTGTTATTTTGATTTCCATATTGTATAACAAAAAACTTTTCATACATTACCATTTCGGAAAATTAATGTTCAGATTTTTAAAGAATATTTACGTATTAATCAACTTATATTATAAGTTGTTTGATAATCTTTTAGTTAGTTTTACATTACAGTCATTACTTGTTTAAAACTTATAAAAGGTGGATTCAGTAATCAATCTTGCTAGTGCTAAAAAAACAAAACTTTTACATTTTTTAAAAGGTTTATAACTTTAAAATAAATAAACCATTATGGGATGCAGATAATGTTATCAGCTCTAACTTTATATGTATTGATCATCTTTCTATGACTATCGAGTCCTGCAAAATTTTTACTCTCTCGGAACACATAAGGTGGTTCAAAAAAAAATAACTTAGTACCTATTTAGTGACCACAAGAAGAATATTCGAGAATCTCCACGAAAGATATGTAGCAATATGAAATACACACATGCGTAAATATTCAAGAATATTCTACAAGCATGTCATAAGCACAAACAAATCCTAGAAGTACTGACGTTTGTATATAAGCAAACATAATCCTGTCAGTCAAAAATAGTCTACAGTATACAGTGAACACTGTAATCCAACAGTTTGGCTACACAGAGTGTATTATTTGAAAAGCTTGAGGATTTATCCATGTTTGCAGTTGGTTGCTGACGTTTCGGACTCATTGCAGAGTCCATCTTCGGAGCAATAGTTACTGCTCGGTGGCTGAAACTATACTGGCGGCTTATCTTGTTATCAGTCTGTTTTTATACGTTGGTTGTTTATCATATCGGTCATTTACCGTATCGGTTGGTTATCATATCTGTTTATGACTCATGTAGTTTACGGTATCTTGTTTTTGCTGATGTTTTTGTTGACGACTTTATTTTTGATTATTGTTGTTGTTTTTGACATTCTTGGCATTTTGGTCTTCCTTTTCTGCACCGACAGTTTTCCATTACTTTGATAGTAACTTTTTCTTGTATTGAACTGTTTTCAGTGTTGTTAGTTGATTTTCTTCTTGTCTCGTGTATGATGGGTAACCATGTTTTGTTTATTTTCCATCCGTCTTCTCTGATGAAATTCTCTGGACATTTTTGATATTTTTGATTGTGTATCCATTGTTCTTGAGTACTTGTCGTAGGTATGTTTTTTCTTCGTTCGCGTGGTTTTCATCAGCTATTCTGACGGTTCTTGTTGCCATTATGTGTAATAGTCCCATTTATTGTGAAAAAAACAAAGGACATGACATCCAATTCAATAAAGTTAAAATACTAAACAAAGAAGCTCATTTTGACAAACGAATGTATAAAGAGGCAATAGAAATCGAAAAATGTCCAGAGAAAAGGAAGACCAAAATGCCAAGAATGTCAAAAACAACAACAATAATCAAAAATAAAGTCATCAACAAAAACATCAGCAAAAACAAGATACCGTAAACAACATGAGTCATAAACAGATATGATAATCAACCGATACGGTAAATGACCGATATGATAAACAACCAACGTATAAAAACAGACTGATAACAAGATAAGCCGCCAGTATAGTTTCAGCCACCGAGCAGTAACTTTTGCTCCGAAGATGGACTCTGCAATGAGTCCGAAACGTCAGCAACCAACTGCAAACATGGATAAATCCTCAAGCTTTTCAAATAATATGACAAATCATGAAAGTTTCAACACATTCATACACAGAGTGTAGTTTTGTGATATCAGTGTAAATATTTAGTGTCTTAATGTTTCTCGATATAATTATAATTGTGTAGAATACACTTCATCTTTATATATTATATATGTAGTGTTTTTCAACAAATTATAATTAAAAAGCCATACGAGAAACACCAAACGTACTTATATTATATTACAGTAAGTTATACGATACAGAAATTCAAAAAATATCATCGACGAACCCTATAAATAATTTGTATTATTTAAATTACCACATTTATCATATCGTCTCCCAAGTCACATTGATGGCAAAATATAATTATCCAATACGTTAATATGCCAATACATTTAATTGCAAAACCAAAAGAAGCGTCTACCTAAATAATTAATACTATTACTCAATATTAATAATAGAAAAGATTACTAATAAAAAGTCATAAACGAACTTTAAGTATACAGTACAATAGAATAGAAGTTGCATATTGTATACACACAAGTTGCCCAAATAGTACATATTTGTAATAATTTTTGAATTCATCAAACGTTCTACACAATATTAAAAAATAATATATTATTACTTTGTCAAATTGATTTAATATATAAATTAAAATTTCAATTTTAAAATAAAAATTCATACGAAATACAGTGTATATACACAAAATTAATATTGAAACAAATTAACATGTTAAACATTGTAAAATCTCATAATCTTCTTAGTCTCTATGACTACTATTTGGGATCGACTCTACTTACAATTTGAAAAGATTTTTACACCGACGTTGACCTGATGTAATCTCATTGTGGCCGAAGAAGTTATTAAGAGGGCAATATATGCATGGGCGCCCGCAGGGGGGGCAAGAGGGTGCGTTTGCCCCTTCCTGGACTTTGGAAATACATTTTTAAAAATTATAACCAATCTGATTTTAATTTGTATAATCTGAAAATTTTATTTATAAAACAAAAAAATCTAACCGGATTTCTAGATGTATTTATTTTTATTGACTTAATGGGTTTTATAGTCCTATGCCGTTACATTATTGTTTATTTAGTAATGACTCATGAATATATATAATAATTATATATATATATATTGCAATTTTCAGTTAATAAACACTTTATTTAATGTTACTTTTTGGTATTTAATTTTTTTTGGCCCCCCTGATAAATTTCCTGCGGGCGCCCATGAATATATGTGTTACTGTTAAAACTCCCATGTAAAAACTCATCCGAGAACCAACACCATATAATGCAACTGAACAATCAAAATAATAATAATCTACTACGTCACACAATAGCCTATACTTGGTAGAATCTATTCAACATGATTATTCAAGGTAATATTAAAATTACTTCAATAATTCTTGATGATGACGAATACAATTAACGAAAGAATCTTGAAACAGCATACTTTTTCTATCAAAAAACGCCGTTTCTAATCCAATTTCAAGTAGCTTAAATTGATGTCTAATTTCTGACAAAAATATTACTAAGTACACATTATACGCAACAGTAGCTATTAAAAAATAACAACAGGACGTCGCTTGTAGAAGATAAATTATAAAAAACACTAAATAATTATTCACATAACTTGTCTGAAAATAAATTAATATCGTTAGTATAATTTTTCAATATTGAAAATCAAGTGAGACATTGTACACTAGGCGCTTTAAAGCACTTGGTATTTTAGGTCATGGTGATACCAATAGAAAATTAAATATTTTAAGATTATTCAAACTTAATATTTATTCGATTTTAATTATTAGACTTCTTTCTTTATAGAATAACTCATCTAGTTATCGAACAATTAAAGATTTATTGTACTACAAATTTATAACAGACATTTATTATGATGAATTAACTTATAATAGTTGGATTAGTAATGTAAAATTAACGTAATAATTTTTTTCAAGAATATTGTTAGAAATATTCTTGAGAATAATTATAAGAATATTTATTACTTAAAATAATTTTCAAGTTAACTTAAATATTCTTAAAGAAATATTTTATTTCATTTTTTTTTAAGAATATATTCTCTTGTAATTATTTACTAAAGAATATTCATTCTTGTATCACTAAGATGAATTATCATTATCTTCTTAGCCTCTATACCGACTATTTAGAGTTAACTCTACCTTACAATAATTTAAAAGATTTTTACACCGACTGTCGCCTGACGCAACGTCATTATGGCTGAGGAAACCAGTAAGAGAGCAAGATTTGTGTCATTGTTTAAGTTCCCTTTAGGTGGCGACTGAATGATCTATTGTAACACACCACCCCCACTAATCTGATTATAAAATGAATATTTTCATATGATATATTCTTTCTTCGTCTCTTAATTTTAATACTTTTAGCGATATCAAAACAAAAAAACAAATTACTAGATTAACTTTAAGTTCAAAAAACCGGGGTAAAAGTCCATACGGAGTAAGAATCCAATATTGAAATTATTGATTTTGTTTTATAGATATAAATCAATGGTCGATAAATTTTAGACCATTTTTACATGTTTTCAACCGTTATAAAATCATTGAGATAAATTGAATACAATATAAAGATTATAAAACTTTGTCAAACTTTTGTGTTATAATTGACCCTTTAAGGAACTATTCTATTAATAATTTTATAAGAATTGAATTTTGATTGTATGTTAATTAATATTGAATATTGACAATTTTATTTTCACGCATAATTTTTGTCATTTAATTTAATAGAAAAATTTTATTTGGGGTAAATGTTCAACGTAGCTTAAATAGAATACATTTTATACATATTTTAAAATAAATGAATTTTGTACTTTTTTTTATTAAATTTGAATAATCAATCTAATAATTTTTACTTCATTTTTTTTCTAATTGTTATATTTATTGAAAAACATTATTTTTTGAAAAAAAAACTGTGTTTTTAAGTGGCCAACTTTGTTTTATTCATTATAATTAAATATTATGATATTCAATTGCAAAATTACTAAATTTAATCAAATTTATGATTATTTTGTAATTTGGAGTAAATAACACCAGGCAAAATAGTTTTTTATCGTTAAAGCTTACTCAATATTAAATGAATTCTTACCCTATCCATCAATGGGGTAGAATATGCTTTTATTTTTCATTTTATTTCAGTTTATTAATCTTTAAATAGAATTCTAATCTCACTATTTTTGCTTAATAATTAAGTATTATATAAATTATGTTTACTTTTTAATACTTTGTCTAGCTTAAATAAAAATTAAAAAATAAATATTGTTTATTACTATCATATACTACAATTTATATGCAATACAAAAAAGTTCGCAATTTTACCTAAGATTACTTTTAATGTTTTAAATTTTATCATTTAATTAATGTTCACAAATTCACTCAACTTCGATGCTAAAGAATTAAAATTTAAAGTAATACCATTTTTGATCTCTTATTGGGGGATGTTAAATAATTATATTAGTAATATTAATAAGGGTTTTTAATGTAATACGTTTGTAATAGTGTAACAGTGTATGCATCAATATGTACACCTCTCGAATATTCAAAACGTATATTATAGAAAAAACTCTTATGATCTAACAAATCACTTCAATTTATTATGAGAGAACTTTTCATAGAATCATTATTTAATAATAATATTTGAATAAGTATGAAATGTTAAATCTATTAATTATATAAATGAGCATTAATATTTTTTATGTATCAACTCAGACTGGGTCTCCTAGAAATATCTATAAATTAATTTTAAGCTCAATAGAATAAAACCATATTTTACATATTTCAATTTTTTTATGAAACACTCGAAAATGTTCTTTCAATATTAAGAGAATACATAATTTAAGTTATAAAAACTACATAAAGTAAGTAGGGTCCACTTAAAACTTAAAATGATCTTAGAGATATGTGTTTCAAATGTAGAATAAATATTTAAAAATAGGTATTGTTTTTTGAAAATATTAATTCTCTTAATTAAAATTATTAAAACAACGACCTCACATATTTCTAAAATGAAATACATTAACAGTATTGTACTCGATAATTATACTTACATAAGGCCAATACATTATCCAATGTGAATGATGATTTATAGGTAAATTATTTTTATCAAAAAAAACTGACACTAGTGGTCCAAATATAATAAAACTCCAATTTATCATAAACACTATAATTGAATATGAAATAAATTTCAAATTTTTCTTATATGAATAATATGGATCATTTTCTATTTTTAATGACCATCGTACAAACGTTGTCTGAATAGAAGTATATGTTGCTATGACTGATTTTTTTTTTAACAATAATAATGTTATTAGTATAAATTGTTGTAATCCAAAAGTACCATAAACCATTAACTCCAAAATTGTATTATTCGATAAGTGTTTATAATTTATCAACGTGATGAACGAACAAAAAAACAACTAAAATCATAATGAAAGCAAATATTAAATATTTACTTAAAACTCACGCATAAATTCATCATAAACAAAATGTATTAACTTATGAAAACCAATTATTACAATTGAAACACTTAATTTTATGTAATTGTATTGAATTACACTGATCAACAATGAACAATTTTCTTGCTTAAAATTAATTGATTTAACTAATTTTAATAAAAAAGAAACAAATCTAATGTTATTAGAGACTAGTTAGCTCTTGTTTTTAAATTATAATGTATTATGGTATACGTAGTGTTCAGTAAGTAAGGAAACAGGTCAATTGTTACAAACACCATATTACTAGATATATAGTCATTAAAGCCAATGTATTTTATTCTCACAAAATTTGTTATATATTTTATAATTTTATATTATTCATAAATAAATATAAACATATATATTTTATTAATTGTAATGAAAGTTAACCTCTATAAATTTATACGGTATAATCCTGCATTTTGTGATGGTGTCACGCCACTATTATTGTAAAAAATATTATAAAATAAAACACAGGCAGCGCATCTGCCACTAACGAATGATGCATTGACAAAAAAAAAATAATTGTGAAATTAGCAAAAATCCAAAAACTATTTAAATCCAAAATACCTGGCCATCACGGCCAGTGTACTTAAATACGTAGCCTTATGTTAAGTGTTATTCATCAGTCTCGTTACTTGAAAGTCAAGTCTTTGTTCATTCCTTTTGACACTCTTACCTATTCTCGTCTTCTACATTTTAGAATACTTGTGTCTTGCACTTCGTCTGTATCCGGTACTTTGTTATATTCCTTACCTTTTACGCCTAGTATTTGTGTCTTTTACTTCGTCTACACCTCATACTTAGGTATTACCCTTATTCTCTACCTATAATAGCAGCCTTTCGACACCCACAGCCAATCTGTAGTGTCAGCCGAGCACGGTCACTGCTGTACGATCAAACGTACGTGAAGGTCTATGCAGAATCATCATCATTATCGTACTGCACTTTTTTCGTTTCCCTTAGAGGGTTTTCAGCTGAGCTATGTTTAATATGTGTTTTTTTGTACACAATTTGCATCTACATTATTTTCTTGGAGAAAATGAGTATGAAATTAACTTTTAAATCCACTAATACTCCAATTTTAAGAAGTGCAAATGTAAAGATAATGCTGCAGCTTCCATGTCTCATGGTTTTAAAAAGAGCCGTTTTGAGAAGGTTGTAATTGGTTAGTTGATTCGTTGCTTGGTAACCTTTTTGATATTTTTAACCATTAAATAATATTGCCTACTATAATGATGCCTGTCAAAATATCTCAAATATCTTAATAATAAGAATTAATATAAATATTTTTCAGTCAAATACACTATAATCGACCCAAAATTACGAATAATAAAATATATTTTAGGATAGTCATTTAAAATTGTTCGTTTTATTTGTGATTTTTGACTTAATTAGTGAAAAAATTATACTGATGTTACGGAGAAATATGGGAAAAAATATTTTGTATTAGAATGTCTGATAATTATGAAAATAAATATGTAGTTATGGCTCTTTTTGTTGATGTTGGCGATATATACATTGCAAAAGTTTTTGAAAATTTATTACAACTTAGAGTACTTTTATTTTGTACTTACCAGAAACCAATTTATTGCACCCATAAAAGCCACGTGGTGAACATAAACATCATATACATGATCGGTTTTTATAGCAAATGCAATTGACATTAATAATTTGTATGTTGGTCGATTTAAAACAATATTTTCAAATTTTTTGGATATAGTCATTATGCCAAAAGATAATGTATGATTATTTAGTTACTGAATCAATGGCTAGAATAAAAAAGAACTTGTTTTTTTAATATTTTTATTAAGTTTCCTTAGCTAAATAAATAATGAAACCTGGTATTTTAACTGTGTAATACCCGAAGTTAAATAATTAGAACATCATTTATTAATAAACTCTTTAACATTTTGTGCTAAAGTTTTGGCATGAAAACAAATTAGTAAAACTTTAAAATACTTGGTCAATAAAAAATATTTTCTTTAAAAAAAAGTTTTTATGATAATATACTTTAAATTTTACTTTTTTTATTGTATGATGAAATTTATAATTATAAAACAAACTTTATATCATATCAGTTTTAAACTAGCAGCTAATTGTTTAAAACACATTAAAAATTTAAGATTTGTATATACATATCTCTTTGAATAAGTTCCTGGCACATCATTATAAATGAAAACAATTTAATAATATCTTATTAACATGTTGTAATAGACGCAAACACATTATTGTTGTGTTCTTATAATTATAGGTCTTCAAAACTTATATTCAAATATAACATTCGAACTCTATGGATTATTAATATTTACAAATAATTTACAGACTTATAACATACGTGTTAGGTACATCATGAAAAATAATTTTTAAGTTCTACTTCAAATTTTACTTTCAACTAATTTCGTTTTTGGTATAAAATAGAACAGATTATAATTTCATGAAAAAAATGAGACTTATAGAAACAGAAAACATTATATGTGAGTTAAGTAATAACAATAAAATGTATAGTTATCAAATAAAATCATGTATACTATACATAAAATATTTAAAGCAAAGCTGGGCAATGAAGAGTAAAAAAATATTAAATTAAGTTAACAGTAACATTATATATATATAAAGAAGATTATATTCAAAATTGAAATTTTAAATGTTTTCACTATTTTTTTTATTTTCAAGAATACCGTTAGTATTAGTTTTAGTTATTAATGAGATGGACATAATGCCCATATACTCAGGCCGATTGGTCCATTTTAAATTTCCATTTCCATTTCCATCCAAATTATCTTGATTCGGTTTAACACCTAAGGGTTATCACCGAAATGTTATTACATTATACCTATCATTTTATAAAGGTGGACCATCATATCACCTCCTATGAATGACTAAATAGTCCTATCTTTTTGGCGAAATTAAGTATATCTCTGGGTCTTAAGTTTTTAAAATCTTTTTTTTTTCATGAAAAGGTTTACTCAAGAAGTTTGATCTTAGTCAGGACATTATGTGAAATGAGTCTTCCTCTTCTACTCCACACTTCCTGCACAATGGTGATTCTGATACCCCTATTGCATTAAGATGTTTAAGCAAGTGACCATGTCCTGTTAGTAGACCAATTAAATTGCTTATTTGATGTCTAGTCATACTATTAATATCACCCAGCAGTAAACCGGGGGTCTTGATATACATTTTAGACTGAGTTTCTCAGGTCTAAATTTTAGTCCCTCGATTTTGTCAACTACTGCTCCCAATTAATATATCGCGACTCCTGGTATGCATTTGTTGACGTTGCTATCTCTTTGCTAGACGGTTCATCAAGTGTCCCGTTGTTCGCATTGAAACTTTAGAGTTCGACGATTCTTCTGCGAAGAGTCGCCAGTTCACGTCTTTGTTCCAACAGGTTATCCGTAGGACCACTGTTCGTCCCAAATTCGTTAAATAAAGGTCCATCACATCAAAGCTCGATCTGTGATAAGGCTGTATACTCTATGGTGCGTCAGGTGCCATAGAGAATCCCAATGGTCACTTTACCTTTCGGCTAACTACCCTGTGACAAGTTAGTAACCCTTTCACTTGATATTGCTGGGTTAAGGGGGCCTATTCGGTGTTAGCAAGGAAGCATGCCTAGGCCTACCGGTCCCAACTAACCAAAGTCATGACAGGCTAAGAGCAAGGGTACGTGTTGCCACCCCCACTGAATTAACTAGAGTTCACGAGGATATTAAGCCCGTGATCTTTACGTATCCCCCTGTGGGTAAGAATACCGTTAAATTACCATTATTGTAAATATTAGACTATGGTATATCAACCAAATCAATCAGATAATGATATTAATATAAAAACAACGGTAGCACAGTGGGGTCGTGGCACAGCATGGATGTGGAAAGTATAAATGACATCTGACAGTGATTAAAATCACTATCATAAGAAACGCTTCGGTGCAAATCTGTAGATAGTGTTTAATTCTAAGAAAGTGGTGGATTATTCCAAAAGCAAAATTATTTCCTATTTATTGTTCTACTTCGACTTTAGAACTTCTAGTACAAAAAATAAGTTTCATTTTAACATATCTTTAAAATATGCAGATTTCCCGGAACATTTCCAAAAGTTAAGTTAAAAAAGTTCTACTTTTTATAAAAATTTTTAAGTTTTCAAATATTTAAAATAGCTATTCTTAACTTTAAAAAGGCAAAATAAGTATAAATTTATATATTAATTTGTACGCGTAATTATAAAAAGTTATAAAGTAGTTATTCTTTTATGGTAAACGTATATAAAAGTTAAAGGTCTCAATGCAATATTTAAAAAAAAAATTATTTGTTATTTATAAATAAATTTACTGGTCTAAATGGAATTTTCATCAGAGACCAAATTATACTTTTCTAATCCCATTTTTGCAACGATTTCAAATCTGCAAGTAGAGTTTCGCATATGGCCTGATCAATAACAATCCTTCTAATTAATATAACAAATATTGAATATTAGGTTACGTATGAATAATTGTTAATTATATTTTAATTAAAAATAAGTTTAAAAAGTTCTACTTTCTATACGCATTTTTAAATTTTGAACCACCTCTATATAAAGGGAAATAGTCCGATTAAAAAAAAAACGGAGGGAATTTTTTTCAATTTTTGCAGGTAATGTATTCGACTAGGTTCGATTTGTGATCTTTTGACGTATAGTTGAGAGAAATTGGTTTTGTGAGAGCTGGAAAAAAGTGGTAACAGACACAAAAAATAAAAAAAAACACATCATAGTAAAGTCCTCAGCTTCGCTTCGAACTAACTAAATACAGTTTTGTAAAAATAAATTTTTAATACATTGAATTGAATTGTAATTACACAATCCATACGGATATATAAGTTTTATTATAACTCATAAATTATACAAAATATTTTAATCAAATAAAAATAAAATGTACAATTCACTATGATACATCTTTTCCTAGTTGAGAGATTGAGCGCAACAGTGGTCTAACCCTCATAATGTTAAAAACTGAGTTGATGAGATAATTTTGTTTAGAATTAAAAATATTGTAATGAAACAGCCTATTTTTGTTTTTTTAATTTTACACTATATAGCAACACTATTTATGTTGTTGTAATAATAAATTTTATATACTTAAGAATGTAGAATTTAATAAGATGTATTACACACATCAATTGTTTGGTGGCATAGGCAACTGTTGCGCTCAACCCCTCAATTATTCTTTTAATTTAATACTTTTTTGTCTCAAAATGCTTCATACTTTAATAAAAATAAATAAATTTATTACCCTATGAAAATTACTTCCACATTATATTTATTTTCAGTATATTTAAATATATAAAGAATATATTAATAAAGTTTAAACATTTAAGAAAATTTTTGTTACTAATAATTCAATTATTATTGTCATTAAATTCTAGTAATATCATTATTTACATTTTAAATATATTCATAAATCTTGTTTTGGAATATTATTATAATGACTAGAACATTTATATTAAATGACAATGTGTATAAATAAATAATAAATTATTAAAACAGAATATGTGCTTGAAATTAATCCTTCTTCTTTGAATCTATTTTATCATCTTTGTTACCTTTGATAGCCTTTGTACAATAATCAAATATGCCTCCAAAAAATATTGCACATATTAAATTTTCAAATGGCATCATTGGTTCATTAATACCAAGAATCATAGAAGAAAATACCTAAAAACCAATTTTATTTAATTATACATAAACAAATAATTTTCTAGGTTATCATAACAATGTTATGTTTTTTTTTTTTAATTATTTAATATAAATTTTTTTTAACTTAGAATAAAACAAAAATAAAATTCTTATAAATATAATCCAGTCAAAATACTATTTAAAGAAATTAACTCAATGAAATCATTCATCTTATAGAATTCTATAAAATCAACTCTGCATATTTAACAAATCAAAATATTTTATCAAGCGTCAGTCATAAATAATAATAATACATAAAATTTTAATTATTTTTAATTAGTTAAAATTATAACATACCTTAAAGTAAATAAAAAAACCAATAACAAATACATATACAAATGCATGTGGAGCGGATATCAAATCACTTTTAATATCAAGTACAAAGACAACAGATGCAATAATACATGCTTTTGTAGTACTGAAAAAAAAATGTTATTCACATAACGGTATAAAATTTAAAAAATAAAATACTTACAAACTAGGTTGCAAAGTTTCAATTGAAGTAGGTGTCCATACTCCACGTAGTAATCTTTCAATAAGTTTTGTAAAAGATGCCCCATTTCCTTTTAAAGTTCCAATAATAATCATTATAATATAAGCATTGGGATACAGTTTAGCAGCATGCAACACTCCATCGTGTACTTTTTTACAGCTATCAAAAAAAAAAACAATATTACTTAACTTATATTAACTAAGACCATGTATTTTTGGATAATATAGAAAATGTGTTTATAATTTAATTATAGAATACATACCGGTAAATTTCTTTCATAACTGAAAAAACTAATTTCACAGGAAGAAATTTGGTTAAACTATATCCAATGTCAAATGGAGTGTAAAATACTAAATACCTGAAAAAAAAAATGAATATTGAAATTCAGATAAATAATAGAATAAAAATGATTTTGAAAGCTATTTTACAATTAAAATATACAATTGTATAATCAGTATAATCAGAAAATAAGTATAATCAAAGATTAAAAAGTATTAGATTTATTTCATAAAATTTAGATAAAGAAATGTATTGTACAAATATTCAAAACATAGATAAATAAAATAAATAAATATTTCATATTTAAAGTTTACAAAAAATAATTAAGCACCAAAAGTTTTGGTAATTTAACTTTTACTATATTCATGAATACAATACACCTTACTTCATTAAATAATCTTTTTGATAGTTTTGTTTCGTAGTATTTATAAAAATAATTTAGGCATTATATAACTAGTTATATTTTTTTATTTAATTAATTCTGTAGTTGTAATCTAAGACTTCACGAATCAGAAGAAAAGTTTTTTTAAGAATTTTTCATATTTGTAGGAATTATAGAGAAAGATATTTTTGATTAGATATATTCAGAGATCAGGAATAGCATACTATTTGTAATGAAAATTCAGCATTTCACTACATTTTAAGTAGCCTTTACATAGCAATGTTACAATAACAAAAATTTAACAAATAGAGTAGAATGTTACTAAATTTGTAGTTATATGTAGATTAAAAGCCTTCTAAATACATTAGTCTTAGACACATATCTTTTCCAATAGATAAACAATAAAAATATTGTTAAAATTGACATATCAATTTTAGGACTATACCAATAGATTTATATAATAAAATCTATTGAATTTTCATATTACATTTTGTTGTATTAAGGTCAAAATTAGAATAGTATCTTAGCTTTTGCATACATCAAGGGAAATTCATGAAATGGGTAGATAATTTATACACTTAATAAATATACTTCTATTAATTGAACTTACAATATTTATAATGGTGAAATTAATACAAGATGAAAATACTCAAATCATTTTATGTATACAAATTTACCATGCCAAAGTTAATATCAAACTTGGAGAATAATTATAGAACAAATACATATTTCTTCAAAAATTACCAAACTGCTGTGGCGATTAATAACTGTTGAGTATTTTTTAATGGTTCTAATGGAGGTTCCCCAAGCAACGCTGCACTTAACATGCCACCAGCAAATACAACAAGCATTGTCGATAACCAACAAGAAATAGGATGTTTACGTGAAAACGTTAAAGCTCCTAAAAAATTAAACTATTTTTTTTAAATATTGTCTTAATAAAGCAAATTTTATTTATATTCACCTGGTCCAAGATCATCACGTACGTGAAGGGCACACAATGCACTGTGTGCAATATCAAAATAAGGATACATTTTCCATTTTGTTACTTGACTAGCAAACTCAAGGAATGATTCAGCATCCATTATTTTTTTAATTCTACTTGTAGTCAATAAGACGAAAAACGAATTTAACAATTAAAAAGTAATGATAGCTGAAGATGAGCAGCCGATAGTAGTTCAAGATAATAATAGCATGTTACCCAGACATGAGTCGAAACGATGTTTAAAAATAACTCTACGACAAAATCATCGGTGTATGTTCTAATAAGATTTTACTATTACTTTATTTATAATTTCACAAACCACCTCTATAATTGATATGTTATGCTACCGGTACTGTTTATATTCTTATCAAAGGCTTATCATAACTGTACTAATATCAATTTATGGTGATAACATTAAATAACCATTATACTGTTAAGAATTCAGTAATGTTCGAAATGTATATGGCTTTACTATCACCTAGAAACGGTTAACAAGGGGTATTTCGGTTTAGTCTTCAACACATCTTGTTTTTAATCTCTCAAAATTCCCAAGGAATGTCATAAGTGCTACTTTCATAGGAGATATTCCAAAAACGTTCTACACTTCTTTTCAATCTCACCTTTTTTTTAATAATCTTAAATAAACAAAGCCCATCATAGTAGGATCGCGGCACAGTGGGAACCTGACACAGTTGGGTCCAGTATAGATTTAATGAAACAGTGATTAAAATCACTATCATAAGGAACGCTTCGATGCAAATTTGTAAATAGTGTTTAATTCAAAGAAATTGGCGGATAATTACAAAAGCAACATCAACTATTTCCTTAATTATATCCAGATTAGTAATTCTTAGATTCAAAAATATAATATGAAATTTTATATTATATAATTGTTATATTGAATTGTTTTCAAATTATTATTGATTTTGATTTTTAATATGTTAAAAGTAATGATTTTGATCCTATTTTATTTCGTCCTTTAAAGTGAAAGTTTATAATAAAAAACCACCAGCAACACAAAACGGATCCAAAGTGACGTCTAGACCGAGACATCTCAACGCTATACGTGTGCTTAAGATCTCGGGACAAACGGAATAAAATGATTCTTTAGAAATAAACGTTATCGTTAATAGTAAAATACTAAATTTTGCTTAAATAATTATTTTAATACCACTGCCCATCATGATTCCTTGGTCGAATTTAGAGAACAATAAATACCTCTTATCCCATAAATGATTTTTAATATCATGAGGACAAGTTTTAGTAGCAATTTTTTTGTTATTCGTATTTTAACGTTGTAATGTTCTATTCTCTTTAGTCTATTCCGAGGCTTTTGATGTTTTAATAATTTGTTCATTTTTTAGACGGTTTTCTATTAAATTTTTTTTAATTATTTATTAAAGTGTTGTTTTCTTGAGTTGATGTGTTAATATTTCCCGGAATTATTTTAAATGGTTGAGTTGAAAAATTGTTTTGTGATATGTTCGTGTTAAAAGAACTATTAGCTAATACAGAAGTATCTATAGTATGTTAGTGGGCTGTTTTTCAATTTGTATAGCAATTACTGAGTTCAGTTTTTTAATAGATTAAATTTCGTTATTCAGTAATGAAATGTTCGTGTAATGTGTTGTAATATTATTTTCTAGTAAATTTTAGACGACGGGATTTAAAGAATATTTTTCAACGATGTTTTGTCCAAGTTCAATTAATTATCTATTAATGTAATTTTTTCTGTAGAAATTTTAAAGGGCTCATTTTTGGTTTCGATAATTGTAGTTAGCGCAAATTTATCTTTTTTAAGTAATTCTTTTAAAATTGAATTATTTGTCAAAATAAGTATCTCCAAATTAATAGGATGTGTAGTCAAATCCAAGTGAGTATTCATAATAGATTTTCCGGTTTAAGTAAAGTTTTTTCTTCTTTGAAAGTATCATCTCCAAAAAATTCTGTAGCGACACAACTATCAGTGCAATAAACATAATATCTCTGACTATTTGAATCGGAATTATGAAATACATGATCAACGTCGTTATCACGAAAAAAAAATCTAATCCATTTCATTTATAAATGTATACACTCAACACTTGAAATTTTTAAGTTATACTTAGAGAAAAAAGTAAGATTTAAAGAGTTTTAAATATATGCATACTAATTTATCACAAAAAAATATTTTAGCAAAAGTTCACCAAACGATGCCGATTGAGACATTATTATTTATTCTATTTAAGCAAAAAAAAAAGGTCTTGATTACTTTTTATTTAAGCCAATTAATATAACAAAACATTTTTGACAATTGGCCAACAATTATTAAATTTGTTTAATAAAATGTGTTATTTTGAATATAAAATGTAATTAATATAAAGTTACAAACCATACTAATGTATTCATCGAATAAAGTTACTGTCAATTACTAAAAAAATAATTATATCTTGTAAACTATTACTATGAAACCAAGATTTTTTTTTTATAACATTCTTTCGATAATAACTTAATCAGTCACTATGTTACAATTTCTTTTTATTCTGACACGTCATGTATCATTCGAAGAATATAAAATAGATATTGGCTGAAAACAATCGATCATGAATCAATATATTTATCTTTGAAGTAATGAAAAAAATTGTTTTAGCAACGTTATTTGTCGTTGGCTAAAAAATCGGGAAAAAATTAGTATAAAAAATCTAGTAAACTATAAATTCATTGGGACTTTCAGTCTAATCAGCGAACAAAGAACATAAAAGTTCTTGTGGGAGCCAACCAGTCTAGAAGTCTTTGTTATATTATTCATATTGTTTAAATTTATATTTTTTTTACATTCTTTTTTTTTATCGAGTGAATTTCATTGACACGGTGGACACTTTTCCTATTTTTTCGTCTATGGTGCTTGTTTATTTTTTTATTCCTATTTTAATTATTCAAGATCTTACTTTTAGTAGTATTTTAGTTTTAATATTTCTTATATTTTTGGACGATCAACTTTCTAAGCAAAACAAAACTATGAAGTCGAAAACTAAACCAATTAGTACATCGATTTCGACAACAGACAACAATGCTACACCTATTTTGACAAATATTTTATCAGATCAAAAGTTTACAGAGACATCCACACAAATTACGACTGCTGAAACTAAAGAAAACATTTTGGAGAATTATACACCTGAAAATTCCATTGAAACTAACTTGAACATTGTTTTTTTGAATATATCACAGCCCCCCCCTACCGAACAATGATTTTATCGACAATGTTACTCTCTGTCAGCTCCAAAACGCTACAGAGGTGTGCGAGAACAACATTTCGACTCAAATAAGTCACTCAACTGAATCAATTCAATCACTTACACCAAATTCGTCATTTACCAGTAACACTTCTCAAATTATATATAACTAGGACAGTAATAGCTCCAATAAAATTAGCTCTCATGATATTCTAAAGCACTTATGGAATAAAAGACACTTCTAATTTGAAAAATTTGATAATGGAATTCCATTGGACTATGGTAATTTAATTAATACTCTTTATTAATCTTATATTTTTTTAATGTTAACTATTATTTTAGAATCATTTTTTTCCGTGTGACCTGAAATTTTGAGCAAACATATTGCAAAAAGGTGTGAAGGTTACAATATAGCGATGGACCCGTTTTGTGGCGCCGGAGGTAACGTAATTCAGTTAGCAATGAAGTATAAAAAAATTAGGTGCAGCGTCAATCGTGGATAAGATGAGAGAAAATAGACTTAAATAGTCATTTTATGAGGAGAGATGAATCGGTAGCTGTAAGAACAGTTATAGAAATGAATGTTGGAGGAAAAAGAAATAAAAGAAGACCAAAAAAGAGATGGTGGGATATAATTGAATGCTATATGAGGACGGCTGATGTGAGCGTAAATGATTTGGGTCATCTTGTCAAGTGGAATTTTAGGATAAGGGTGCCGACCTAAAGTAGTTGGAATTAAAGCAAGGAAAAAAAGAAGATATTGTGAAGGTGTCACGTCACCATTATTGTAAATTATTATTATGATAAAATACATACAGCACATCCACTTTTAGGAACTGATAAATTACTATTTAAACCCAAAAGTCCTGGTCATCGGGGTTAGTAGATTCCAGTGCTTTGTGTCATTCATCAGTATTCTCAGTTAACCCGGAGTGTCAGCCGAGCACGATACCTGCTTCATTTTCACACGCATATTAAAACTCGGGCAGCAGACATCATCGTCGTACACACTGCTCTATCTCCATTTCCATATATGTTTTGTTTTGTGTTACAACAATATAATTTATTGAGTATCAAGTTTCGAAAAAATTTGGAATATTATACATTGTTACAAACAATGAGAACAATAGAAACCCGTTTCCTGACTTACTGAACACCCTGTAGAATGACAAAAGAACACACAAATAGAGTTAAAAAATTAATAAATAACAAAGTCCTTTTAAATGTCCCCCTGTGGGCAGGTAAATGGTCAGATTTACAAAAAAAATATATCAAATGATAGGTAAAGACATTATACATCCATAAAAAAAATTATATGATTTAGTCATTTTCGAAAAAGTTATAGCAATTTTAAGTAAAAAAACGGTAGTACAGTGGAGTTGTGGGGCAATATGGACGTGGCATAGTTGGCACACATATAGATGATATCTGATAGTGTTTAAAATCACTATCATAAGACACATTTCGATGCAAATATATAGATAGTGTTTAATTTTAAGAAATTGGTGAATTGTTGAAAATAAAAATTCTAACTCAAAAAGATTTATGGAAAAATTGCCAAAAAATCATTGCCACAGGGAATGATTTTTACTGAATCGGCAAACGTTCGTCGCATTCGTTTTTTGATAAAATGTTAAAATTAATTTTTTCGTTTTAAAGAAAAAAAAATTGAAATAAGTTTAACATTATATTCTATGTCAATTAATTTTATATAATATTCATGAAAATCAGTGTACCCCTTATAAGGTATTTAAATAAATTAAAATACAATACCAAGAATTTTAACACAAAAATAGCATGTTTTATAACTACAGCAATCATTTGTACATAGATGATAAGTTGTCGGGACAAATTTTTTTTTTTAATTTATATTACATAACATTAGCTTTATTTTAACATATGTTTCAAGCTCAGAGTAATTCTGGAACATTTTCAAAACTGAAGTTGAAAAGTTAAATTTTTGTACAGAAGTAGTAGCTATTTTGAATCCCCCCTTTAGGCAGTAAAGGGTCAGATTTTCAAAAAATTAATATCAAATATAAGGAAAATATATAAGGTTTCAATATAAAAAAAAATTATTTTATATTGTTAATTTTTCAACAATTTATGACAGTTTTAATTATTAAAATATTTCACGTTAAATA